CAATCGATGCTGGACGCATCAACCGATTCAAATTCAATTATCAATAAAGTAAACTGTCGAGTTACGAAGGCTTATGAAAGCAATCCTTCATCGATAACTGCATGTCTAGACAGTTTTTTGGCTAATATTTTTGATGCTATCGGAGTCAGTCAATTGCTGTTATGCGTTCAAATTGTTCATTTCTTAGTGAGATGTGAAAAAAAACCCAAATAAATGATAAGTGCTCTAATGTTTTAGCTATAGGTGATTCGATGAAATTCAGTGGCGTGCCTCTAAGAGGGGAAAAGCGGGAGAAAGGGCACACGATCTGGAGGGTTGAAGAAAGGGACCTAGAAGAGGGGACGAGAAGGAAAAAAGAGAAAGCAGGACTAAGAAAGTGGGAAAAAGGATAAGGAAATAAAGGGGGAAGAGATGAAAAAGAAAAAATGAACGTTGAAACAAACACCTCAAAATACTATTTTGGACCAAACCATTTCTTACATCCCCTCCCATCTGCGCAATTAATGAAATTCATCATCGATTCTACTAAACGCAACCGTAGCATTGATAACCTCAGCTTTCGTTATCCTTGTTAGAGGATAGGTCTTAATGTACCGAAATGATTCATCCATCCTCAACCAGTCAGCCCATTTATTTGGTGTAACGCAGCTACCCAATCTTAATGCCGCCCTTAATATAGTATGCGAACAGAAGCGTTTGATCTTACGTTTGTGATGTGAAAGGGAGAGAGGATGGATAATGCTTAAGAATATTGCATTAATAACGATATTTATGATTGCGTTCCGCATCAATTCATGCTCTATGAATCAATCACCTCATTGATATTTCAGTGGCTGCACTCTAAATTCATTTCTCTCATTCGTTCATCGTAACATTACAAATGAACATTCACAAAGACGATCGGCTGAAATGTGAGCAAATAAGCCCAATTCAATGCAGGATTTATTAATCCGTGATTTCGCTCGTATCATGCGCTTTTCAGTCGAAATTTTATGCGACACGACCATCGAAATAATGAATTTCCATTCGCCAGTGGATGCAACTATCATCATCGCTCAAAGGCACTGATATCGATCATTTTTTNNTTTTTTATGATCATAAGTGATCATGAGTATAACTAAGAAAATTCTCATTTCCCAGCATCAATTTTGACACATTGAAGAAGGCTTAAAGACAACAGTAATACACTAAGAAATCTGCGGGAGCAATATTTATGCTGAACGTTTCTTTGCTTTCCTCGGCTCAATAAAAGAAGTGAAAGTGAACTTACGGTTTCAAGTAGCCAGTTGGAGACATACTTTATGGAAAATAATTCAATGAAAAGAATGATCACTGCGATGGCGTATATGAGTGACGCAAGACATGAGTAAAACCTTTGCTGAAATATAAATGCATTTTACAAGATCTTTCTAACCATATCACATTTTAGAAGTTATTTTCACTTCTCATCTCGGTGACGCAACAATGATCAAAGACGTACTGAAACCAGTTCAGATTAATTTTTCACTGAAATATGGAATTAATGTTTCGTCAAATTTTATTCTTATCCATAACAAATACACTGTTATCTAGGAAAACCTAGATCCGTGATGTATACAAAAAAAAGAACCATTTCATGAACAGTTATCACGCGATATGGATCGCGTAACAACCACTAAGCAGGATATACCATTTTTATGACCCATTTTAATGTAATAACGTTAAAGACACTTTTAGTTATCAGCAGTCAAAAACTCATCCAAATTGGATGTGAGATGGGATGTTGAATTCGATATGTTACAATAAATATTGGATAGTAATTAGCTTAAGTGGAATAACTCTACACCTTGCATGTACTCAAGCAATTGATTCGTTGCCATTAGTGACCATGACTTAGGTGTGTCTATTTTTGATCGACTCAATAGTATCATAACTCAGTGATGTGAGTGCTTAATGAGTTGTGCTCGAAATAGTGCCTCTTCTTATCGCGCATTGACAAATTCTTCATTCAGCTAAGTGGTAATGAAGATATATTGGAAACTTTCTAAAATAAATGTAGTCAGAATATATATTCTAAAACTAACCATGACCGGAAAATTGAATCGGTAATAAGCATCGGTGGCGTTGCAAAGATAGCAAATTACGAAAATACAGTTGCAGATCAGGAAGAAACCATTCGCGCATACAATTATGAACATCTGCGCAAATGAGTGAACGGCTAGTTTGCATTCTTGTGTTGCGTTTGGGAAACAAAATACACCCGAAAGAAGACTCGTTAATCCGAAAGTCTGAAAATAAATTCTGTTCATTGAGTATGCTTGTATGGTTTATCTAGAATAATTAGGAACAAAATGCCTACCAGCGATGAAAAATATCGTTTGAATTGAAACTTAATGTAAAAATCTTTCAAATCTTAAACCATTAAAAAGATAACATTTCCTCTTCAAACGATTTAAAGAATCATATGGAAAAAACAAGTCTTTTCAATTTCAGAGTGTAATGAAGAAACAGCAGCGCTAAGATACATCCAAGTGAATTCCAACTTCATCTGATGACTTCATCTGCTAGAATTAAGCTCAAACCTAGAGTATGGCTTAGGTTAAGTCTTACTCTTCGGCTTATCTTCATTCTAAGGTCTAAAGCTCACTCTTATTTTCGCTTCTAAAGCTCATTTGTTACGTGTATTCCTTCGTCTATATCATTCGAAACGAATTGTTGCTTCAGATTGCACTGTAATCATTGCAAATATTCTGATGAATATTTATGTGGAGATGAACAATGAGAGCAGTTCACTTTGCAAAAATGCTTGCATTTTGAGTCAATTCCTTCGGTACATTTCAATATTCCATCATCTTTCACCATGACAACAGCCAAACACATTCCAGTTTTCAACCGACTAAATCACAAGGTAATTTTACAGTGAACGTAGTTATTAAGTGGCAATACTATACACCATTGCTGGATGAGCCTCAGCCCTTGGTTCAAGCTATAAGTGAACTGGAATGGGCCTCATAGTCGAGGTAAGTCTTAGGTAGAACCACATGATGTACCCCAGTCGGAGGCATGCATGAGGCTTACTTTGAGGTTGGTGTACAGCCGGATGAGTTTTCAGGAACATATCAAATAGTGCATTGGCACTTTGTACTATTTCACAGACTTATTCATATGGTGAGTGATGAATATTTATGGGGAGATGAGTAATGAGAACAGTTCACTTTAACAACGATTACGAAATAAATACGCAGAAAGAAGGTCGTAAAATGACGACATCACCGAACGGANGTCAAAATAATTGACTGGAATACATTAGATGTGTACATAAGGCCATTGCATACAAAAATATGGATTAAAATTTGGATGGTAAAATGATTCGTGCAAAACAAGCAATAGGCAAGAAACTCGGAAAAGTCAGGTTCAATTGAGGAGAACTTATTTTCATTAGTTTATGGTCGTAAGGCTGAGCCCAGGCATAAGGATGGGACTGAGTCTCATCTTAAGTCTTACTTCAACGAGTGATACTAAAATTTGTGCGAGAGTGGTATATCTATAAGAATTTTATAATCAGTGATTTGATAGAGACGTTTTCTTGTACTAAAATTATTCCGAATGATCTTAACACCGGATCATTAACATATTACGGTTTAAGTTGAAACATTGAAAGCTCTCGAATCAGAAAATAAACGAGTTAAAAGGTTTGATATTCTTATCATCTAACTGTTGATCGATTTAAAAGATTCGATTTAAGTGGTCTTTAAGCGATATCTCATAAAAACTATTTCCTCACTGATTCCTGCGTATTCAAATTAAACTAAAGTTGAACTGAAGTTTGTCTTAAGCTCAACTCTGTGTTAATTTATGCAGTAATTGGCACAGTTATTCCTTAAGTGTTTACAGCATTGCCTTCAGGCGTACTCGATTTACGTTCTCAAATGGTAACGTTGGTTTTTTTTTNCGATTTTTCGAAAGATTTTTAATGAGAATCAATTAGCTTTAATGAAATTATGAGATATCCCAGATAACATCGTGACCACTCAGTCATAATTGCTTCAAAATATTCAAGTCACATTTGTGATAAGAAATTTCCATCAGTATAGTTGCAGTTCATACGAACGGTATTTATCATTTGCAAAGTAAACAACGATGCTGCACATTAACTGAAATAGCAATTTCGAACAGCACTCGCCAGCTCAAATAGAGGCAATGGGAAAGTTTGAGGAAATACGTTACAAAAAGTGCTATGTGCACGTTAAAAGGTTTCTTTCGTTCATTCAACGTCTCTAGAGTAAACTAGTGCAAGGCAACAATTAGAAAAGCAGAAATATTTGGGAGAAGATCGCAGTCAGAAATGCGTGTGTTCATTGATCATATAATTAACATCTTAAATGAGAATGCGGCGAAAAACGTCAAACGTGGAATGATTGATGTTTGGAGTACGACCAAAATTGTGTCGTTTAAACGACTGCCACGAAAAAATAAATGCACATTCTCATAACGCGATCCTTGAACGTTTTACTCGCTTGTGAAACAATGATGTAGTTGAAATCGCACAAAATTCTCTTGCAAATGAGTTTGCTTTGGTTCTTTTACAGCTCTGTCCATATCCTTCCTCATAATCTCCGTTCCTTAATACGGATTCCAAAAACGATATGAGACTGACCCAACTCAATGGATAAGCGAAAAAAAATGAAATCAAAATAAAATCACTTACAATTTGCAGCAGCAAGATGAAATTCTCTTTGTCTCTCATGAACTGTATGTTGAACCGTAACGGTGGACCGTTATTACTATTGCTCATCATGAATAATATGACACATACAATAACAATGTACAGTTACAATAGGCACATTCAGTGTTGTGTGATGTTATATTATTAATATCACTGTTATTAGTAGCAGATGGATGATGATATATGGATGGATGAATGAATGGATAAATGGACAGAAAGAGGGAAGGGCAATACGCCGTTGTTGGTGAACTGATTCAAATGAACTAGCAGCTAGCTTGTGTTATCAAGAAGAGAGGATGGCGAGAAGCACTCTAGAAGGGTGGTGTTGTTTGCTTGAATAGATTTGTTGGGTGGTGTAGAGGTAATAATAGTGGTAAAAGTAGTAATGCTAGCAGCAGCAGCAGTACCCTGATATTAGCAGAATGTGTGCGTGCTTGTGCAAGAGTGTATTACATGCTTATAGTATTTAATATCAAGCACATATTTGTGATACGACGATAGAACGTGAAGCTCTTCATCAAATTAGATAGATAGTGAGTGGCTCTTATTGCAAGCTTTATGCTTCTTCTTCGTCTCAATTTCACAATGAACATTTGATTCACCCAATTAATAAATTGCACACTTCATTCATTATATGTTTATTAATATAATGTAATTTCTGTTTTGTACTCATTTCAGTGTTCTTATTATTTGTTTTAATCATATAAGGGATGATATTCGGGTGATGAATTACTATTGCAGCTATTGAATCTTTAATGAATAAGCTCGTTGTTGGTTAAATAAGCTCGTAGTAATATAATAATTTAGATGTGGTCATTGACTGGAAAATTATAATAAGCAAAAGTCATTTGTTCATTCATTCGTTTCAATAGACACTTGGAGAGCCTTACAATTCTAATTACTATTAGCACGAATAGCACCAATGTTTATTCGTTTATGAGAGCATGTGACAACAAGATTTGAAAGCAGCAAACAGTCATTACATGTGATGCAGGGTAGGTCCACGTGGTTTGTGGGGTTATTATAATGTTGACTGTGTGCTGAGCACTGTTTTCGATGTCACTTCAAAGTGGATTATTTCGTCATTGATATGAGGAGTGATAATCGGTAATCACGCAATTGAGCGCAAATTTCTTTGCTTAGTTAATAGTGCAGATTGGCCGCATTTCTTCGATACCTGTGATATACCAGCAGAAAAATTTGGTTTTCAGTGTCCACGAATGATTCACCTTGAACTGTGTGGAGTTTTTGCTTATGATTTGAAAGTTGTTGGTCATCAGAGTTTTGTTTTTGGTATAGAAAATCCGTATTGTTCCATCAGTCATTCATTCATTAATCGACTGTAGAAAACCTCAAAGATTGCTCTCCTCAATAATTTGACGAATAGGTTTCATAGTGGCACCAGCGAACTGATCTTCATGGATCAATGAGCACTAATTAGAGCTATTCGTTTCGTGTAATGCGATCATCCCTAATTAGATGAATAGGCGCGTTCCAATGCGCCCCCTTGACACAAATGGATTGTTGTAGGGTTGAAGTAGATTTCGTCCGTTGTCAATATATTCTCATTTAAGCATCATTGCAATCGCCAACAAACCGAAATGAGTCATTCAATGGGTACATTCGCTTGAATCTCATCATGCAGCAAACTAGCCCACATGCACGCTTATGTTAAACATTGACTCATCATTACTGTCTTTGAAAATACCACAAAAATTCCACGGCTTCGACCTTTTAAAGATCCTCTCATGACTCATTTCCATTTTCAGTTTCTTTTTTAACATATTTAAGTGATTACAATCGAACCATTACAGTAACATACCATTAACTTCTCAACTTTGCATAAGTTTTCTTGAAACGTTTATTCTTTAAAGTATCGTTTTCACAAGAATTCGCATTCGTGTATTTTTCATGACTTTTACAAAAGAATTAATAATGGAAGGAATGAAAATTTCAGAGAAATTCGATTCGATCGAGCTGAAAGGAATGAACAATCACGGTAGTAGTCGTACGAATATTGTTACGGATCTCGCGTATGGATGATTGAAACCATTCGCTCTATCAATCGTTGATTTTGCTTATCATTCACATGGACGAGTTTACTTTTCGTTGTTGTTTTATTTTTATGAATTTGTTATAAAACTACTACCAAATTCACATCTACCAATGATTGTTGTCATATGTACCTATATAGTGATCATTATGTTGTATTCATCACAGAATTATGAGATCTCTATTTTACTCACTTTCAGATTTATTTCTTTTGTTACGGTTCTTTCAAGCACCAACGACTTTATCGAGTTTCATGCATTGTTGTTCCGAGCAGTATTTGGAATGCTAGTCAGTAACTTCTGGTTCAAGAATTCTGAACTTATCGAAATGTTTTACTGAAAACTAATTAGTGAAATAATTATTTAATGAAATATAAAGTAAAGCTCACTCACAGAATATTTGTTAATCTATCGTATTGCTATCATAATCAAGAAGCGATGCGTTGTCACCTTTCTGGAATGCTCGAAACTCGATGAAGTGATGCTTGAAATGTGCTTTTTTGAGAAATTCTATTTGAACGTTTCAACTGGATGCATGGATGGAACATTTACGCTGGGGAATTTTNCCGAATAATTAGTGAGAGTTGCAAACGAACAGAATTGTTAAAGTGATGAAATGAAGGGAAGTTTTTTTTTTGGGATGATCCAAATTTGTAGCATCAAAAAGCTCTTAAGCTCGAGTGGTTTTGTCTTAGAGATGGTTTATTTCGACTACAAAGTGTTGTTATTAATTAATAAATGCTGGTCATACTCATTATGGTTACAAAATGAGCACAAGAAAGCATTCAACTGAATGAAATATCATTATGATAGGAATACAATAGATTAACGACACGTCGCTTCCTCGAAAGGAACAGCTGTTTATGTGAATGAACTAAATAATTAATTAATTCGTACGTATGCTATGCACATATTCTCTCAAGTGCCATTATTGCGATATTGTGTTTCATTGAATAAATCGTGTTTGTACTTTGAATGATGTTCATTATGAATAAATACTGCAAATTGTCTGAAGGATTTGAAGGAATTGTTTTTTAATTCAAGCGATAATAGCAAATACATGAGGTTTATTCAACTCCATGAAACTTCGTAGCTATCGCTTGTTTGATAGACAACGTTCGCATACAAATAAATGCAATTGAATGATTTGTATTCAAATTCCGAGTTAGTAGTGTATAATTAGCAAGTAAGTGGGATACATTCCACTCGTCGGTTTTGTTCAAGTCGATAACCGCGATTGCAATCGATTGTCCCATTCGCTCGCTTCAGTGGACAACAGAACAGTTCCGGATCGCAACCGCTCACAAAGATTCCATCTTGAAACGGAATTATGATTTCACATTGAACATAAAACCGCTNGGATCGCAACCGCTCACAAAGATTCCATCTTGAAACGGAATTATGATTTCACATTGAACATAAAACCGCTGATGAAATACCTCGACTGCACGTTTGTCGATTTTTCCAAACCGCAACCTTTTCTCAAACTATATTACGCCAAAAATAAGCAACAAAAAACATCCAATGTTGGACCAGTCCCGAAGCGTTGGTTGAAAAATTAATTCAGTTTAATTGGGATCAAAAAATGAATTATTTCGAAATTGACCTCAGCATGATATAGAATTATTTATATTGATTTCAAGTATAATACCTTTTTTGGCCTTTCTGACTGTGGGATTACTCCGAAAAGGTGGACCAAAGAAGTCGATTCCACTGTTTTGCATCGATTTACCTGATGCACCAGATCCATTCTCGAATGTTCGCATCACTTTTTTCAAATCTGTAAAATTCTTTTCAAATTCCAATGAATATTCTAGAAACATCGCAGCTTTTAGTGAAAACGATTGACTTTTGTAATGCTCCGATGAAACGATTTGTGGGAATTTCGTGTTGCCATTGAAAAAGACCAACACTGATACGCTTCGTGCCAAACTGATCTCAAATTACACTCAATATGCTCAGTGCACAATTATGAGTGTAATTGAACTAACTCGCTAATGATGGATAACAATGAAAGCAAATCAAATCAAACAGTCAAAATAATGCAAATTGTATGTTTATGGCCGATGCATTAATTAACACTTATAAAATGTGACTCGCATGAATGCATATTGTCAGATGATGCGATTGCACTCAAATTCACGCTTGGCTCGGCGATTGCATTAACGAATAATCGTTGT